TCAATAAGGGTTAATGATGATAGTAATAGATATTGATGATAAAAACTGCCATTAACATCCTTGAAAAAAAAAAACTCATTAAGATTATAAATGTACATCATAGTACTGATAATCAGTAGAAAATGATTTTAAATAACAGGAGAAAGGAAAACAAGTCATCAGTAAATATCATTAAATTTTAATTCTTGTTTAGGAAAAATGTTCCCATTTGTATTTCAAATCTTGCGATTTCCACGATGAACTGACCTCTTTTCATATTCCATAGAAACATTACAAGTAAGGATGTAAGCATCTGTTACTTTTTTAGCCATATCAGGATGACGAGCTCCATGATCCATCACGAGCCCTTTGACCAAGCTGTGGATTAAGGTACAAATGAGTTTAACAATATTTAATCCTCTGTCTCACTTATTTGATTGTTCTGTTACAACTGCTTGACTGTAAGCCTTTGAGTCAAGTGATGGGGCTGAAAAAAATTAATAGAGATATATGTGCATCTAACATGTGAATTTCCAAACTATATGTTTTTTTGTACTTCTGTGTGCTGTCATTGGTGCATTAAAACCTTCCTTATAATTTCAACCAGGAGATGTTGTCCCCTGTTTTTTTTATTAGACTTCTGATGAAACCAAAAATTAAGATTAAGTTTCTGTGGCTGGGTGTTTTTAATAACAAACAATACTCATACTTGCTTTTTGTATCAGGAAGAAGCAAAGGAAAAGCATCTCGTCCTCTTGAAGGGAATACTGGTCTATCCTTGACAACCCCCTGAATTTTGACAGCTTTACCTGACAGTTTGCCAGCACCCATTTACACTACTGAGAGGAGAGAGGCACTTGGAGAGAGAAGAGTCTTTCCCAAGGAAACAACACAGTGATCCAGCCAGGGCTTGGATCAGGACCTCAATGGATAAATCCTTATCCATTGTTAACAAAACCTACCGCACTGTATGTGGGATAGAAATTTATTCAATGGATAGCTTACTTAGTGGGAAGTTTACCACTTGGCCACAACACTTTTCACCAAGCTAAAATTAAATTTATCTTTTTTTAAAACAAACCACACTTCACCTCTGGCTCATACTGATTTCATGAATGTTACTTTTATTGTCATTTACTGCTTACCCGGTATCAGTTCCAGATTTGTGCATCATCTGCATAATTTCAACCATGTGCAAGTCTATAGGCTTAGAAGGATCTCGTATGGCTAATACAGCATCAACAACAACCTGATGGCAGGGAAAAAATTATTTTTCTTACTTAGACTGCAGTGTTTTGCAAGCATTTCTGGCCCTGAGAAAAGCCATAACTGTACAGTTATGTAATAAATTACAATAATTTTTATATGTGTTTGATGAAGCCAATCAGCTGGCTTCTATGCTACTCTGTGAGATTAACTGAACAGCTGGTGTCATTCAGACCAAATAACATAATTTCCTGCAGCATATACACACTTGAGATGATTAAGACCAATAAATTGTAAAAGTTGTTTTGAACTGTCACCTCTGTTAAGAGATCTGCTAGTTCAGTGTGTAGTTTTGTCCTGAGTGATGTTCTTGCTACACTTATTAAAGTGTCTCTATCCATTTCCTTGGAAACTTTAACTTCCTCTAAAACCTTCAATGAAAATAAAATGGTATATTACATCACAAGGAGGCAAAAAGGATCCCCAAAAATTAATACATCACTTCTAACAACAACAGCCAAAATTAAAGTATGATCAGAGCTATGGGGTTAAAAGGGTGGCTTACAGCCCAAACCAACATCACCCATCAAAAGATTTTTACATACTGTACAAATTTAGCTTGAAAGGAAACAAATGTGACCTCTTGAGAAAAAAATTACTTAATTCACAGCTGTTTGCAGGATATAGTATGGTAAAGGTTGTAGTTGAGCCAAGTGGCCATTCAGCCAGTTCTTTTTTGTAGCATGAAGTGACTAGAAGTGTTCCTACTCTCCCCTCGATGGGAGGCTAGCCCATGGCAGGTTACCCAAAGGAATTTTGTCAGCTTTCCCTGACAGGCTCTTTAAGATTATGTCATGGTTATCTTACCTCTAAAGCTCTCTTCTTTGCTAATTCAAATCCTTCTGTGACAAGACGGGGATGTAGACCCTAAAACAATTTTATATTCACTTTAAATTGATTATTTGTACTATCACAAATGCTAAAATCTGAGTGATACTGGTGGTTTATAATAAAACTATTGGATTATTTGCTCAGGATCACTGTGCATAAAAGTTGATTCAGCTTTTGCTCTTACCCACCCCTGAGCAGGAGAAATCTCAAGCTCATTATCAATTTTTTAAATAAATTTTTCAGAGCCAAAATGAGATCCAAAGATTTAGAACAAAATACAAAGCTAGGACAATCTTTAAAAAGTTAACACTGCTCATACCTCTGATACGTAGAGATCAGCCTGTCAAACAAAGCCAAAGAGTGGGAATTAAAAAAAAAAAAAAAAGAATGGGAAATAAATTGCAACTGAACAACACAACAAATTAAAGGTAATCAAGGGTAAACAGTGACATCCACTAAAAGTCTCCAATGAGTACATCAAAACACTCATGACCATGAGGCATGGTGACAATATTAGAATCATTTTACAAGAGGATGTGGCATTGTACTGTGAATAACTACAAAGTTTATTTCCTAAATGAAGGAGTACATGAACATTTGAACTATCTAATGTGGTTAAAAAAGCTTGTAGCCATGTCAAGGGGGTATAAAAAAAAGCTGCAATGCTGTTACTTCAGCTGTTTTATGCAAGTTGCTATGTTGAGGAATTGACTCATCACACCACAAGTTGTTTATACTGCTATGAGCTTCTTTAAAAGGGGAACTGAAGGCTAAAATTGAATCATTTTAAATTGCAGCTTATAGCTTAATTATCAATGTTTGAATGTTTTTTTCAGTCTTTGAGCCCAACTTTGCCTCTAAAAAATGGTTTTATGCCATATTTTGACCTCATGGTATGGCAGTTTAGAAAAGCAATGTCAGCGGTTATTTTAGCTTGCTTTTACATCACTGGTGAGGAAGAAAGATGATAATCCCATACTCTTCCTTTAGAACTTCAGTACGGTTCTGGAGTTATCAAAGTTACATGGCTTGTAATGGGAATCAAATTCAAGAATGAAATATGATATATAACGCCTTCTTAAGTTGGTTCCCCATTACTGACATCATATTCGACCACTGCTAATTGTTTCCAAGCCTATGGTCTTGGAGCCACAAGAGTGGGAAAAAGGCAAATTCAAATGAAATTTTCTTCTAAAAAACAAGAAGTGAACGAATTTAACCACCAAGACTTTATCTTACTCTTCTAAAGCTCACGGGAAATGAATGCTAAAAAATTACCAATTTTAGGCTTTTGTTTCCCTTAAACCTTTAATTCTTAATACAGTTGAACCTCTATTAAATGGTAACCCACAGGGAATGATGGGGTGACTGCTTCATACAGGTTTACTGTTGAATAATGGTTCCTCCAGTTTACCTTTTCTTTCTTCTTTTCACCTTTCTACCTGAAAATTTCTTAAAATTGACCTAAAAAATTTCTTTCAGCCATTCTG